CCCCAAAACCCCAAAACCCCAAAACCCCAAAACCCCAAAACCCCATGATAAAAGATAAATTTCTTAATAGTATTCTATAATATCCATTTCTTAATCACATATAATTTATAAATTCCATTGAAATCTCAGATACAAAGCTTAACATTATCTTCCCCACAAAACATTTCGAGCAGATCAGCTCCATCCTTATTTTAACTTACTATTTTTTTCATTCCGTCAATTGAAATCTCCTAGTCCATATTTAGGTTAACACTCTTAAATATGTACTGTGTAAAGTACTCACTAAGTTTCAAGAAGAAATCATCCTTTTCTTCTTTTTTGTTTAATCTTCTAGATTGCCTCCTCTTTGGACTATCTTATATATTCGCAAAACTCCTATTGCAAAGATTATAAATCTCATCGTAACTTAGGAACCCATTGCCATCCTCATCTATCAATTTGAAAAATCTCTCTATCTTCTCTTCAATATTGCTTATCCTAAAAGAGCAAACGACTGACATAAAGCTTTCAAAACTGAGCCGATGAGTCTTAATGTCTAAATCTTTCTCTATATTTCTAAATAACTTTGTTACAACAGCCTCATTTTCAAATATAAGCTAAGGGAACCCATCCTTTTTTAATGTATTCATATCTATCCCAGTTGGCTCAATTAGAAACTTCTTTTTTTGATAATCTTTGAAAATTGTTAAGAATACTAGTGAAGTGTAATAAGCATATATTTTTAGGAAGTCTGCTCGCTCCACTTTATATTTCTTCTCATAGTAGCTGATTTATGACATAATTTAGCGCTGAAATTTCTTTTATACAGCATGCAGTATCCTAAGTGAGTCATTTCACTCAGCGTTTTGAGAATTTATCTTTACAAAATTAAGATTCCTACTATGCTGAGACTGCTTTAAAGCCGTTCTCCTCCTAGACTGTGAAAAATTATTTACATTATCCTCTATTATTTTAAGCTTTCTATCTGCTAAACTTTAATAATGAAGCTCTGTAGATTTGTTGAGATCATTGTTTTGAATGTTTCGAGTTCTGAAAGAAAGTTACTAGAATTTCTATTGAGTTTCATTTGATTTATATGGAGAAGATATAGAGAACTAAGTTTAGTTGAAAATGTTAGAATTCCTCATGCTGCTTTGGAAATTTTAATAAGTATTCTAGTTTTATGATTCAAGCTTGACTCTTGGTGAAGGGCTTCTCTAGAATACCGATCTAAAATGAATATATTAAACCTTAAAGTCTTACTCATTATGCTAGTTCATAGAGTTGAAATTTTAGATAGGTGCGTTTCTCGATTGAGGGGTCATCTGGCTGGACTAAGTCATAATATCCTTAGATGATGCTAGAGTATTTTTGCTTTCATCTTATTAATTATATTAAAGAAAGTAACTATCCCTCATTTTCTGAATGTTAAGAAGCAGCTTCTTATTTCTGTTTGTAGTATCCACCTTTTTGAAGTGCATTTGATGAGCTTCGCCTTCAAATGATAAGAACTTGCTATTGTTATTATTAGAGTTTGGAGATTTTATCTATTTCAAGAAGGGTTCAGAAGCTTGCACGAAACTACTACTCTATATATTTTTATTCCCAGACACTTAAAATGTATTTCGACTTTACTCATTATTCTCTTATATCAAGTAGTTATTTTTGTATTGATTGACCAAATTATTGCTCGTCTGATTCAGTTTACTTATCCTTCTCTCAAACTTTTACGAGAGTATATTTCTGTTGACTTTGAAATTGAGAGATGGAAAACTCTTCTCCGAATCATTACTCTGAATATTTAACATTTTATAGCTTTTATTTTTCATCCTATAATTTCACTCTAAATATACAAATGCTTCTCACAGGGGTTTTGGGGTTTTGGGG